ACAAGTTTAAATAGTCAATTTTAACCAGTGTAGATATCCCTTTCTATATTAGTGGTTCTAGTTAGTAAATTACTAGAATTCATTGAGAAGTTGGTTTTTCTCTTTGGACAAAATTCCTAAATTTAAAAAAGCTTAAACTAAAAATATTAATATTTGAGGTGTTGGATTATGATGTGAACTGAATTTCAAGTTGAATAATGCTAGGGTTGGTTTAGGAATAGCAACTTGAATATATGAAAGCCGATGGCTTTATAGAGTTGACGCTTGTTTGTTAAGGTCTATGTGCAAATGAGGATTCATGTCAGCTAGGGGTTTGATGTAAATTTAAAATTCCTCTAGCCAATATTTAAATGAATTTTTTAAGGGAATAAAGAAGGCTAAAGTAAAACCATTCAAAGGAAAGAGGGCTAATAGCTAGGTGCATAACTCTCTTACATCCACCTGCAATTAAAAAAATCCCTACACTAGTGGCCTTATGCCACAAGTGGCACCGTTCCTACCTTCTAGTATTGGACTCTCTTTATGTGTGAGTTTCCTTCCATGGGGAAGGATTTGGAAAAAAAATAAAAAAAAATCCCTACAACTTAGGGTGGTGTCAGACAAAATGAGATATTTAATTGAAGTTTTATGAATTTGTTTATGTTTGTCTGGATTGATTGCGGATGTAAGCTTGTAGATTTATACCCCTTGTCTTGTGTTACCACTGCCATATATTTTAACATTAAATTACATACATAATGGAGCCAAAAACATTTTCAATATACAGATACTATGATCCAATTTAGTGAGCTTCTCCAAAGTGTCATTGTATCATTATTCTCATTTAGTTAACAGATAATGTCTTTTCCTCTTATCTATCTTTTGTTAGTATAAAGTAACCAACAAATATGATTTCAGTGGTCAACCTTCAAAGTGTTAGGCATCAATTGTTGAAGGAAAATGATTGGTTTATCTTCCCTACCATTTCTTATTACAGAGTGATCCATGGGGTGTTCCTGATGATTATGAATGTGAGCTAATTGAAGATGATGCACTAATCCCTAAGCGTGATTTAGGCTTGGACATTATTATTTGTAAGTTTAAATTAGGTTTTTGCAAAGGAGTGCATTTAAGAAGTTATTGAGATCTTATCTGAACTCTAGATTATTGAGAGTTACAAGGTTAAAAATTTATAAAATATATTATCGTTTTAGAAGTCATATTTAGATGCTTGAAGATAGTTGGATAAAAAAATTAAGGGTTACGTGTTTGATTGATTGGTTTGGAATGTCGCATATTAGATATTTGGTAAAAAGTTGCAAAAGAAACTTTTAGGTGTAAATTTGGTTGCTAAAACTTCAAAGTTATTACTGTTAATTTTGGTTGAGTGGGTTTTCTTGGAAAGGGATCATGCTGGTTCAAAAATAAAGTCCATTAAGATACTATTAGATATTATTAGGTGTTTGGAAGAAGGGAAACTCGATTGGAGTTGTAAGAAGTGAGTTTTGAGCTCTGAGGGTAGAGGTGAGGATATAAGCCAACACGGACCATATTGGTTAAGAGAAATGTGGGTTGAGTTGGGTTAAACTCATTCTCATATGAGTTGGAAAAATTCCAACCCAACCCTTAAGGGTTTGTGAGTCAAATAAGCTAACCCACCAACTCATTTAGTTATTTTTTTATGAATTTTAAAAAAATACACTTAAATAGTGAGTTTCAATTTGATATTCCTTCATGATTCATTCTAAATATATCAAAATATTAATTTATAATGTTTCTAAAAAAATATAAATTAATTCATCAATTTCTGAAAATGAAATATGACATCCACCTCAGCAGGGGCTACTGGGGTCTAATGCCTTAATCCCCTTCTCACATTTAACTTCTGATGCGCTTGTACCTTTTGTTGTTTAAGTGAAATTCCAATTTTTTCTTCTTTTTGACTTCTACTCATACAATGTTTAACTAATCATAATCTTACCAATTTAGCAATAAAATTAATGGAGTTATGTATACATCATTAAATTTAATTTTGTAATGATGATAAAAACTAACGTTACAATATATGAAACTCACAGCATTGGGAGAAATGCAAAAAAGTATAATACTGATACAAAAACGCATTAAAAAAATATACAAACTAACAATTATATTTTTCCTAACAAACATTGGCTGTTCTACCAATGCAGCGTAACATGAAACATACTATTAATCATTTAGAATTCACAAAAAATTAAGGATGACAAGTTATTAGTTGTTGAACTTGTGCAGCAAAACATGAAACACATTACTCAAACTTGCTCAAAATTCACAAAAAACATGTCATAGATTATCGTGAGTGTCACATGGGGTTAACAAAGCCATCTAATACAATGCACCATCACAAAAAGCCATGATTCTATCAATGGTCCATCCTTTTTTTCCTGTTTGCTTGTGAACTATGGAGTTGTTGCTACCGCAGACAAACCAACCATTTCTTGCATAGCATTATACCTTTTGGACTTGTGCCGCTTTTCTTTTTCAACAAAAATGTATTGATTTGCTTCTAGATTCTTACCTTATAATACTTTAAACAAACTGATATTCAATTCACACAAACTTTATTAAATTGTATTGTATAAATCCAATTTTTTAGAAATATAACTCGATGTACACACACACACGTGTGTACATTTTATGAGTAGTATTGATGTTATTAATTGTTTTTCTTGATATATCATGTGGATAAATTAAATTTATTATTATTATGAAAAAAATTAAGAATTCAATCTTTTAATCTTTTAGGTTATGTTTGGATGAGTGAATTTGAGTTGAAAATTTAGATTTAAAATTTTATATTTGAAATCTCACATTTGAAATTTATAGAATCTAAATTCTTTGTTTAGATGATATAAAAAATTTTAAATTATAATATTAAAATTCTTTGTTTGGATCTCAAATAAAATTTCAAATTCTAAATTCTATGTTTGAATTTAAAAGCAACTCAAATAACATTGACAATCTAGTCTTCATCGAAGTTGACAGTTTGGACAACCGACTTCCATTGAGATTAAACTGTCAACACCTATCGAGATTGAACAGCAGCCTTCCATTAGGACTAGATGGTCGACTTCTACTGGGATTGAAACTTCAACATCAAATGGGGCTTGATCGTTGATGCCAATTGGGACAGAATCATTGATGACAACCGAGATTGAATGGCCGACTTTTACCAAGACTGGACCATTAAAGCCAACTAAGACAAGAGTGCAAGCGACAATTGGGATTGGATGGCCGACTTCCATCAAGATCAAACAGCCAGCACAAACTGGGACAAGACCACTGGAGCTGATCAAGACAGTATCACCGGAGTCGACCAGGACTAAATAGCTGGGATCAGATGATTCGATCCCACCGTGATTGAGTTTGACAAATTCAATTGGGATCGAACCACCAACAATAATCGAGATTGAGATCGGACCACCGGTGGTCTGTTCTTGGTTAAGGTCTTCTATTTGATCCTATTCACAATAGGAGTCGACATTCAAATCCCTCTTGCAAGCTGCTGTCTATTTCGATTCTAGTCACGGTGGCAGCCAGCATTTAGATCCCTGTCTCAAGCTGTTGTTCAGTCCTGGTCGGTGTCGGTTGTTTGGTCACGATGGAAGTTAATCATTTGATCCTAGTCGTCACCAAAACTGTGGTCCTAATCGGCGTCAATAATCCAGTTGGTTCATGCAGTTTAGTCTTAATGGATGTCGGTTGTTCAATTCTGGCCAGTCCTGGTTGCGATGACAACCCAATCCTAATCAATGGCAGCAACAACCCAGCCTTAGTCACTGCTGGCAATTTGGTCCTATTTGGCACCACCGATAGACTAGTCAAATTACAAAAAGATTAAGGTAGGATTTAAAATAATAGGGATTTAAAAAAAAATTTCACATTATAAAAAGATTAATATAGAACTTGAATTTGGAGCAAATCCAAACAAAATTCAAATATGTACATTTTTAATTACTCAAATGATGGATATGACTCAAATCCAAATTCCTGTGCATCCAAACAAAGCATTAGTTTTATTTAAAATTTAAACTGATATGTTAACTTAATACTATATAAACATAATGCCTAATTATTGAACATTTGTAATTTTGAAAAAAGTTGTTACTTTTGATACTAATATTGCTTATCGGGGAAATAATATACTATGGACGAAGGTATAATTTTTTCCATTGGGATTGAGCCAAACCTATTCTTGTACATTGGGAAGGCCTAGATGCACAGAGACCAGGCAAGGGGCTAAAGGTAACACCTAGTAGTCCACCTCAATCTTACTTGATCTTTATAAATACCGAATCTAAATCTCCTCCTTTAATGATCTTCAAAACACACTTACGTAATATTTCCCCAAGAATTGAACCAGAATTGATAAATGGGGGCGTCCTTGCTTTAACCAATTGCGCTAATCCTTTTGAGTATGAACAGGGTAGATGTTCTGTCACAAGCAACTTCTTAAATTTCTCATGCGTATAAAAGCTACATGGGAGTTCTGTTGTGTGTGAATATTTTAAGAATAATTTTGACGCCACAGTCACCATACTTCACGCCATTCTTCATGCTCTGTCCCTGCAAACTTCAAAAAGCCATTTTAACGTCATAAATATGGCATTTATCATGCTTCGTTATTCTAGTTTTCCATTTCCTTTTCATACCGCAGTAGCTTGAAATGGAAAAGAAATCAAACCAAGTTAACTGGACAAACCTTTCCTTTTCATCTTTTTGTCCCCATTTTTATTCTCTCTCACCGGGTGGCTCATCTTACCTTCCCAGTCTAATTGAAATTGCAGACAACCATAACTAAATGATGAGAGAGCAAGATAAACTTGGTATATGTATATAGAAGTCAATTCAGTTTGCGTATTCGTATCATTTCATTTGTTCCCTGCTTGACAGAATAGACAAGGCTTTTCCCTCTTGTGGTCCTCTTATTTTGTTTTGTCACTCTAACATTCTATTATATATTTATAGCTTACCAACAACACATGTAAGTTTGGTATTCCCTGTTTCTAATGGAATCCTCACTGCCTCTGGCCACAGATAGCTTTTCATACAGTTGGCTATCATCAGACTTTAAGCTTCCTGTCAATGGCCTTGATGAGGAGTCTCTCAGAGCTTCCATGAACTCCGAAGGTTTAATAATGGCAGAACCCCAGAGCTTTAACTTTGACTTTTCACTCGATCACTTGCCACCTACTGGTTTTGTTCATGCTGATGAGCTTTTCTCTGATGGCTTTATCAGACCTGTGTATGGTGATCCTTCAAAGGTGGAATATTGCAATACTCCTTATTCCACACAAAGCATGCCTAGTTCTTTCTTTTATTCAGGAATTGTTTCTCCAAGAAGCGTGGGGACTCATCATCATGGGTTCCTCACAAAGTGGAGAAAATCCACACAGAAAATCTTGAGAAGCAGCTTTGGGTATTTTAAGCAATTATGCCGGAGAGTGGGGTGCTCATGGAAAAGTACTAGAGTTGGTGATTTTGAGAAGACAGAGTGGGAAGTGAAGAGTTGGAGCATTTCACAGCAAGCATCTCCAAAATCAGTTAAAGCTTACTCCATGGGTGATTTGTTTGATTATGAGAACTCAATTTATGAAGCCGTCCTTCACTGCAAAAAATCAATAGGTATAATTATGCCTTTTCTTTTCCTTCGTTTAATTTCCTAGTTTGTTAAACTTGAAACTTGTTTATTTATTCTCTCTCCTTGTTTCCAGGAAACTGATTTCTCAGCAGATAAAGCAAAGAGAATAGTAGAAGGGGGAAGAGAGTTTGGTTGTTCTAGATCTGCACGGACGCTGCTCAAGCAGACCAACTTGATCTCTCTCTCTCTCTCTCTCTCTCGTGCCTTCTTCACTCATGGATTTTACATATATTTTTCTGCTGAGAGATGTTTTCTTAGATGTAGCTGCAGTGAGTATCATCACAACAAGTTTTATAGTAGAAGTTGTGAAGACTGGAGAAGCATAAAAATTAATCACTGTCTGCTTTTCTGATGTAAGAATAACAATTTTCCAGCACTTTCCTAGCTCGTCTTCACTCTTAATTCATCTAAAGAAGTGATGGACTTGGTGTTCTCACACAAATGTTCTGCAACAGAAAATTGGAGATCCAGTTAGTGAATCATGACAAAAGAATGAAAGAAACATATTTCCATCAATATGAGCAATCCCCATGAAATATCAGTTTGCCATAGATTTACACAGAAGAGCTGCCAGAAAGATTATCTGATCTAATGCCGTTTTGGAAACCTTCAAAATCTTCCCTTTTGTAGACAAAATATTAAAAATAGAAGAGATATAATGGCACTTCAATATGACAAATGTTTTATCCACTGAAGTTAACTACATGGAAGATAATTTGACTTTATTGATCACTAATTTTTCAGACACCATTCACCATAAAATCATGCTCTATAACTTTCTTATTACCAGATGATGTGTCATTCGCTAGGTGAGAACAAAACCAAGAAGTATATGTTGTTAAACACAAATTCAAAAGTGGAGTACCTGTTTGAAGTTGAACAATTCTTAAATGGAATGGGGAAAAGTAAACTGAGAAGAAGATTCAATTTAGTATAAAAAAAGTCAGCAAGCTAAGTAAATCATAAAAGAAATTGAAGCATTGAAGTGTATTGGAAATCAATATCAATGGGGAACACATTTGACATACATATGATGATTTTTTTTTTTTTAAATCTGTTTAAAATGCCCAAACGTAAGGTAGAATATATCAAGACCAACCCAGAATTTCACAGAAAACATAATTTTTTTCTTCAACTCTCACGACTGGGGCCCTCATTGGAGCTTGTCAATCTTCACCACAGGTTGGTTTATTTTCATCTTCTGGTTGTAGAAACTATCAAGATAGATAAGAAGGGAACAAGGGACATGCCAATCTTCTTGAAAGTTTCTTCCTCACTTATCCATGATTAACCACTAGAAAGTGACACTGACTGTGAACATGATTCCCTCTTATTGCTTGCAAGTTTGCCTAACAAGTCAGGACAAAGTGTCGCTGCACTGCATTTACTTGTGCTCATAGAAAAGTTGCCCATCCTTCTCATTCCGGCATTTGTTCAAACATTCTCTAGACATTGATGGACCCGTCCAAAACCACAACTTCCAACTATACTTAGATGAAACCTAACATTGTTCTCATATGATATCCAACAAGGTGGGCCCTCATGTGGGAATAATACGGTTTGTCGTAAATTTCATACTGCTATTGATAGTCATGAGGAAAACTATAAATCTCTCTTAAATAACTAACCACATTCTAATCTGTTTCTGACTGATACTTACTATTGTTTATATTCGCTTCAGCAAGAAAGAGAGAAGAATACAGTATAAGCCCGCGTGAGAAGGGAGCATAATAGGATTCAAGAAAATTTTCAAATATTTTAATAAAACTTGAAGTAACCTGGACTAAATTCAATTGAAAAGTGAAGAAGACAGAGCAAACCTGCGCCAAGTTCCATTGGTCAACCACCCACGTGATGAACACATGCATTTGTCAACAACTCTGGGTATAGACAATGTCTTAGGAGCCAATGGCCATGTTCTTCTCCAGCCTTGTTAGCTTCTTCAGGAATGGACTCCTCGTGAAGGGTCCCAATAAGAAAACAACCTCCTGGGACCATCTCCTTTCTTTTGAGTATGTCTCTGCTAATACTATTGTTATTGTCTTATCATAAAGATTCAGTTGCAACACATGATAACGAAGCTTAAATTTGCTTGTGGCTCTTTTCTTTTTCTTTTCTTTTCTTTTTTAGAGAGCAAAAGGAAAATGTTATATGTCTTGGCTTAAATCCAAACCGAAGGAATGTTCTGGATTGCTTTGCCTTGAATTCTCAGGGATTTTTTTTTTTTTTAACATCTTGTGAAATCGTCTTCTTGTCCTTTCCATTGTTCCCAATCTAGCCGTACTCAAGTTTTTTTTCCTTTCAATATCATTGTTAGCAATGTTACATGTTATTCATAAACTTTATAAAAAAATATCAGTATTTCTCAATCCATTAAATTCTAAATCCATTAAGCTTAAAACTTAATAGTTAATGTCAAGATAAAACTTAGTAAACTTAGAACTTAGCAGATTGGGAAAATTGATCTCTTTTATAAAGTTAACGGCTTCCCGACCAATTTTAAAATACTAAAATTTTTTGAAAAAACAATTTACACATTTTTACACCTTAACACTTTTTTTAGACATTGGTTCTCTCTCTCCTATTTTGGTTGTAGTTGAATGATTTTAATGTTGACTATTTGATGACGATGACAAAATCTAAACTTAAAATAATTTAATCATGACAATATAAGTTATAGAATTAAATTACAAATTAAAATAAATATAAAAAATTGATTAAATCAACTTGAAAACAATTTATTATTATTATAGAATTATTACCACATTTATGCGTATTATTATTATTTTTTCAACAAAATTCAAATTGTGAGAGCAAAAGATTTTTTTTTTCAAAAAAAATGAAGCTGTGGAAATTAAAAAGGCAACGAATTGTCAGAAGTGGGATTACAAATTAAATTTAAATATAAAAAAATTGATTAAATCAACTTGGAAACAATTTGTTATTATTATAGAATTATTACCACATTTATGTGTATTGTTATTATTATTATTTCAACAAAATTCAAATTGTGAGAGCAAAAGATTTTTTTTCAAAAAAGAAATGAAGCAGTGGAACTTGACAAGGCAACGGATTGTCAGAAGTGGGATTTGAACCCACGCCCTCTCACGAGGACCAGAACTTGAGTCTGGCGCCTTAGACCACTCGGCCATCCTGACATGTTTGTGTAGTCATGTTACGCTTTCTACCGTGTTTTATTATACAGTTTTCTTCACAGTTCTTACAATCCGCGACCTCTCCTTGCCCCCCCTCCTTCGGATGTTCACTGTTCTGACCGCCTCTGGCGACTCACCTGGTGAGAGAAACCCACTAAAAACACCACATTGATATCGGTTTTGGGCAGCACCGAAAGGTTGGTCTTTTAAACTCTTTATTTTCCTCCTTTCCTGCTGCTTTTCATGTTTGTTTGGATCTGCAACTGTCAGTGGACCACATCATCTTCCGAGGCCTGTTCGACTGTAGTTCTTCTCCCTCTTTCTTTCTTCGCTTATTGCGTATGTTCCCTCTGTTTCCCTTGAGGTTGGCCTTCAATGATGCACGAATTCATATGATTCTTACTTGAAAGGTTATGTTTAATGTTATTCTTTTTTTATTCCAGAAAATGCTTCTTAGAGTTTACCTTTAATCTAGTAGAGCTTAACCTACTTCAGAATCACCAGACGGCATCTACAGCCATCTAATAAGAAATGCCTATATGAATCCCCTCTTTCTTCTTGAATGGGTGGTGTCACTTAATTTTAGTAACTTTGCTAGTCTGTATAGGAGTTTTGTTGATCAGCTATTCCTTGTTTCACCGCATTTTCTTCAACACCTAGTATTTAATTGTGGCTCATATGCGTTCCTTATTAATATTTGAGGTATATTTGGTTATTGCTAAATTACTTATATAGCTGTTTGCAGCTGAACCTGCATTTCTTTTTATGGTAAAATTTGGAGCAATCGTTCTCAAGTTTGTCACAATCTCATGATTTGGTAGCTTGGTGTACGGATGTGGATTAACCATGGTGGTGGTGTTGTTTGCTTCTCTAAAATATCATGAAGCTACGAGTCAGTCTTGAAATAGTAATTTAACCATCATCTCGAATCATTCACCTGTTTTGAGTTTTGACAGTGCCTTTTGGGTTTTTCTCATTTTTGCTTTTGCTTCAAGCTCATAATTGATAAAGCCTATTGTTGAACAAGAGCAACTGATAAAGCCTTGAGCCTAGCAAAGAGGATAGAGGAAGATCAAAGAAAACATTTGTACAAGTTGTTGAACGAGACCTCCCAGCTTATGATATTTCTAAAAAACTTGATTGATAACAGAGTACAATGGCTCGTGCAATCTATGTAGCCAATTCCATTAAGTGAGATTAGACTTGTTATTGTTGTATTGTTTAATTTACACTAATAACCTAAGGTTCTGTCTTGTTTTTTTCCAAGTTGCTGCAATTGATGTTTCTTAATGTTATGATTTGCAGACTCTTAATCTCACTGAACTTAGCATTGACAATGAATCCATTTTCTTCTCAATTTGCACAACCGCCGCGTCCTCCTCCTCCTTGGTTCCCATTGTTACCACCTGATCCACCAAATTCAAGTGCTTTTTGGAACAACAGAAATGTGCGCAATCAGCTAAGTGAATTGCAAGATACTCTCAATATTGCAAAGGCAATGTACGTTATTCTTATATCAGCTTGATTGGTGGATGCTGTTTTATGTTATTTACCATGATCAAATGGTATTTCTGCAGGCAAAAGGAACTGGAGATGCTGATGATGATCAAAGAGGGCAAAGGGTCTGCAGAAGATGCAAAAGATGGATCAGCCGAGGCTTCTGTTTCTGAGTTTCAAAAATATCTTGAAGACAGAAGGGTTAGTTTGGAAACTCAAGAATCACTGGCAGTTGAAGCAGCCAACTCTTTGATGTTAAAGCTAAGAGCTCAACTGGAGCCATTCAGATATATTGCAGATGAAACAAGTCCATGGGAGGAGAAATCTGCACCTGCTAGGTTGGAAAATAAACTGCGGAAGAGTAAAAGGAATAAAATCTGGAGAAAAAGGAAGCGGAAGCGCATTGCAGAAATGCTGGCAAAGGTTCTTTTCTTTCTTTCTTTCTTTTTTTTTTTGGTCGGATTCTCAAAGCATTTCATTTTATATATGTTTCACCTCTTCTACTATTGTAAACTGCTAATCATTTTTTGTTTTTGTTTTTTTTTGTTTTTGTTTTTACTTCTATGTTGTAAACTCTAGGAGCGTGAGCAATTTGACCAAATTGACCAAGAAGCTAATGAATGGATGGCGAAAGAGATTGCCAAGGACATTGCAAATAAAAAGGTAATTTAAATTTTTGTGAACTAAGCTGTTATTTTCCCTCCATCTGGTAATCAAAAGTGAGATTTGTTTAGAGATTATTTATGTAATTGCTAAATGCTTCCATTATTTTGCCCCTATTTTTCTATTCAAATATCTCCTCATTGAGTTTAGTTTCTGTTACGTTTGGATTGACTGACAGCTGCTAAAGTCAGACATATTTCGTTTACGACTTTTCTAATGGATTTATACTTGATTTAACCAGTTGAGGAAAACTAATGTGGAACACAATCATAAACATCTGTTGTCACTGACAAGACATGAGCGGCTTCACCATAGGCAGACTCTGCCAATACATCTATTGAAATTGGATGACTACATAAATAAACTTGAATAGTTATTTAGAACTTATTGTCATTGTTCCCCACCTTATCAGAAAAAATACATAGAATTTATCATTGTATTGTTCATATTACCTATGCACTTCCTCCTTTAAGAGCATCGTTAATTGAATACCTTTAGTTCCAGATAGTCCCAGTGAAACTGCATGTTTTGTGGGTATTTAATGTTGAAGACGTGAGAATTTAAACTGCTTCATCATGGTTGTTTATTGTCTTTCGGCTACCTTGCAAACATGAGGCTGCAATGCTACTTTTATTAGCACCTGTAGCGTGTTTATTTGCAGGTGGAAAGGATGAAAGAAATTGCAAAGCTCAAAGCCAAAGAAGAGAAAAAGAAATTGGAGTCTGAGGTGAGTTTCTATGCAGCTTAATCATGTTCTTCTTGGTCAATAGGAAACTAAAACATTGCTCATCTGGGATTTCTGATAACTTTCTAGAACTTTGCCACTCATTCTACATGAAATTCCATGATTGTTAATTGCTTAAATTATTACCCAATGCTAATGAATTGTATAGATTGATTTACGTTGTGGTATATTTGATCCTTATCATTTTATTATCATTTTAGCCCATGTTCTTCTGTTGTCTTGGCATTCTCTTGCACCATGATGATGATTTCAAATGCAAACTGGCATTCCTGGTTCACTCATTTCAATTACTGTTTGCTGCTTTGTTGCCTTCCCAGCATCCATTATGGTCTTCTGGTCATTGGTAACACTTTATTGGTGGGTAATCTCACCTTTGTGTAGAATTCAAGGTTTCTATAATAATACAATCATATTCATGAATTTTCTCTGTACATATACTTATTTGGTCAATGTAGACCACACGATCTCTCTTTGCTTCTCCATCCATTCCTCCCTTGCATTGGCAATCCCTTTTAACAATTGTTTCGTATCTCAGCTTGAACTACTCTTAATAGTGGAGAAGCTGCAAGAGTTGCGGTCCATCAGGATCCAGAAGATGAAAAGACAAGGTATGCATGAGAAAATCACTCTGCTTCTAGTTTATAGCATTTTTATTGCCCATGATGACTCATTGTGGCTTTTCTTGGTCAACTATAAGACTTTCCTGTACACTATTTCTGTGAAGACTTTTAGGCTCATAAAGCAGCTGAGTGTTTATTTTTAATAAAAAATGCCTCACAAATGATATCTAAGACAAAAAGTTTTATTACTAATGTGGAACCATACATTTTTTAATTTGTTAATGTAATAGCAAACTTGTTCAATATGCTTTCTTTGTCAATTTTTCAGTTGCCTGTTCTATCAGAGTTCTTAATTTTATCATAAATTCTGGAATAAATAGAGATTATTATTCACACATTTAATATTCAGTAATGGTTGAAAAAGAAAAAAAAAAGAAATCGCATTGCTCGATTACCATAATAATATGTTCTTTTTTTAAATTAAATATTTACAGGCTACTTTCTTCCCGAGGAGGACAATAAGTTTCTTGAAAGGGTTCAAGCTGCAGTTGAGGAAGAGGAGCGCCAAGCTTTAGCTGCCGCTGATACTGATGCTGCTAGAGAAGCGATCGTGTCTGCAGAGGAATCCAGAAAATCCATTCAAAATCAAGGAGATATTTTAAAAGGTCCGAGCATTGATGATAATGATCTCCAGGAGAGCAAAGAGCAGAAAACTACCGGTGCAGATGAAAAGGGCTTTGTTGCAGTTGATGAGAAGGAATCTAGTAAAAAAGGATCTGACGGACATGGCAGTAGGGGAGCATATGATGGTGTCACTAACTTACCAATTGAATTCTATCATTATTATCATGGCAGCAACAGTGATATGGGCACACTTATCGAAGTAAATTCTAATTACTTCCTCTCCAATCAAATTCTGTATGGCTTTCAACATAGAATCTCTTGGTACTTTCTTCTCATATGTCTGTAATCAATGACGATTTCTGTTATCTTGGCATGAAGGCTGCATGTTTTACTAAGCTGAACTGATAATAACCCTATATTAGAGTCTGTTGTTTGTATGCATGTTTGACTTGGACTTGTGTGCTGTAAGTTCCACTTGATTATTAAAGCTTTTAAATAATCTCATGCAGGTTAGAAGAGGATGGGATGCTTACATCAGACCAGGAGGAAGGTAAGAATAATTAGGGGTCCGTTTGGAACTTTTTTTTTTTTTTTTTATTGTTTTGAGAATTAGTGTTTTGTAGAAGATGTTCCATGTTTTGAGAAGAAAAAGATAATGAAAATAGGTATTTTTCTCATTCTTCCTTATTCTCCAAAACAATAATCCTACAACACCTAAAAGATGTTTTTATTTTTCTATTCTTCAAAACAATATTTTATTTTTTTGTTCTCCAAAACTTTTTTTGAAAATACATTACCAAACAGATTTGTTTATATTTTTGTTTTAGAGAACAGAAAGCTGTTCCCAAAATAGGTTACCAAACAAGCCCTAAGTTATTCGGCTACCACTTTTATTATTAGTAAATATTCCTTCTGCTTAAATCATCATAACTTGAAAGACAGATGGAAGATATGGATCAAAGCCATCAGAATATTAATGATCTATGACCCAAGTCGTCACCACATTTTACAATATTTAATTATAATGCTATTTGCAGTATTACATATTGTTTCATTTTTTCTGTGCCGCTGTCATGACTTTTTATGTTTTTTCATTTTTCTTGCATTTATTCCTCTAGTTCCGCAGCACCATTGTTTCTTGCATCTTTTCCTGTATGCCTAACAAGAAACATCGTTAAGTATAAAATGTCAAAAACTTAAAGCGTGAACACTGACATGAATGCAGGACATAACGAGATGAACTTACAAAAAATGAAGCATCTATATCTATGGATCTATAAATCCTGTAGGAAGATATGGCTTATAAATAGTATTTTGACATGTTTGACTTTCATTGGCTTTTGTGCAAATTGTGGAGACCCGCATCTAGTCTTGCATGTAATTTAAGTGTATTGTTGTGTACCCAAAATGACTATTGGAGTATATGTTCCTTATAGATCTGGTGCATTTGAATAGCTCAATTATCTGATCTGTTTCCTTATTTACTGCATCTTGTTACAGCCGCATACCAGGTCACTGGGTTCAGCCACCTCCTCCAGCGGATGAGATTTGGGCATCCTACTTGGTGAAGCCTAATTGAATGGATATATTTGGTCATTTTTGCTAAATTGTTTACCTGTATCGTGTTTTCTTGTCCATTCTGCTGGGATATGAGCTTCAGGAAATGTTCATATTGATTTACAGAGCTGAGGGAAGATCTAAAGGCAACCATTAGTGTAAATTACATTTACATGATGATACTTGCAGGTCAACATTGAATGTACAGACACTGAAGAAGGATATTTAAGCTCCACCCACTCTGTAATTGCATTGTTTTACTGATGTCATCTCATATTTTTTTAGGGAGAAAGTGCCGCATGAATTTTCTCAGTTGTCTCTATTTGTTCTTAAACCTCTCTAACTCTGGATTTATTTATTTATTTTGGTGAAAACTCTGGATGTATTTTTATTTGTTCTCGTTTTTTGTTTCCTCTCGAGGGGACAGAATAGCTATTTGTAACGGTCAATATTTAATGATCAATTTGATAAGATAATCGATGTAATGGATGACGAATGTTATCACTAAATTTGTTTGAAAGACATGGAATCTTGTCTTCATATAAATTAAAAGGTACTTAGGATGGATAGATAATTTAATAAGTCGTAGAAATAAAAAAAAATAATCATGAAAAATGGGCCGGCTTGCTAACTTGTCATCTCCCACAATTCAGGCTGAAATCAACGGCAAGTTACTCTAATGACAGCAATGTTTATTCAAGTCACCCCCCCACATCAGGTCACATTCTCAACACGGCTTAAGTTATAACTTATAATATTGTCAATAAAAATTTCAAAAAAAGTGTTATCACAAAAGTAATATCATTCAATCGAAAGTGCAACGAATGTGTGATTTTTTTACCCTAATGTAAGATTTTCTAATTAAATTACACATACACTTGCTATATTTTGATCAAAAAACATTTGATTAAAATATATTTTTGGTCCTCTAATTTTATATCAAATTTATTTTGATCCCTTAATTTTAAAAATATATTTTTAATCATTTAACCCTGATATTGCTAGTTTCATCACACAAAAAATTTAAATTAAATTTTTAAATAGTGATAAAATATTATCAAATGTTAACTTATTAAGTTTAATTTTTAAAAATAATAATGATCGGCACAAAAAATAATCATTTAAAACTAACGATGTTAGAGTTAAGGGATTAATAAAAATCTTATGTAAAATTAGATGACCAAACTTTTGGGTTATTTAAAATATTTTAATAAAAATATTAAAAAAATATAAAATTACCTCTAATCTTTCACAGGTAAAATAGGAGGACCAGCTTTATCCAAAAAAAAAAAAAACGAGGACCAGGTGGCTTGGAAAATTCACCTTGTGGCTAATCTAATCTGACCAATAATCTTAGGTTCCTTTAATTCAACTTAAGTCTTAAATGTTAACTTTTAAAAATTTATAAGTCTGACTTTTAATTTTATAATTTTATTGTAATAAATTTGTAATTTATTTTTTAAATTTTAATATAATTGAAGAATAAATAAATTTATTTTCTTTATTAAAATTTAGAATATAAATTTCAAATTCATTATAACAAAATTGTAAAATTGATAGTTAAACCTGCAAATTTTTAAAAATTGACATTTGAGACTTAAATTAAATTAATTTATCATTTTGAAACCTCTAAGCCATTCTCCCATAATCTTAACATTTTTTTGATGGAATGATAATCCTAACGTATAAAATCTCATGAATTAAGCTAAATAAATATTTTTTATGAAAATATAAAATTTTCTTTCTTTGGTATTAATCAATTTTAGTGAGTTAGCTTACATTACAACCTTACATGAGGATAATATATACTCACTAAATCATAATATATGATATTTTTTAAAAGCCTTGTTTGGTCCAAAATATAAGATATTGTGTAACTTTTATAATTATTTTCTTAACTATATTTCTACTTTATTTATTACTTTTTTTAAAAAAATAATGCATTATAATTTTAATTGTTGTTATTAAAATACTTATATAGGTATCTAATGAGAGGTAAATCAATTATGAAAGCTATACAATCCCTCTATTTAAAAATATAATATATTTTTTAAAGAGTTGAATGTTAATAAATGTAAAATATTTTTAATCTTTTAATGTATAATTATTATTTTTTTAAAAATATTTTTATTAATAAAATAATTTTATATTTATTGTAGAGTGATTGATAAAGATAAATATAAAAAGATAAAATTAATATAAAAATAAATAATTATTTTATTAAGTAATAAAATTTAATTAAAAATATTTTATAATTTTTAATGGAGGAAGTATTTAAGTAAATTAGTTGGCTTACACTTCAAGCTCATTATGTCATGAGTATGACCCCAAAAAAGGTTAGGACAAATAAAGGAAAAACGGAGAGGGGGAAGCAGAGGGTAGTAGATCTGTAGAAGGCCATAACCTTTGGGCACAAGCTAGAGTCTTCTCACACTCTCTTATACTTCGTCCCTGTCAAAGTACCTTTCTTCTCCCCGAGCAAAGCCGTTTTTCTTTCATTGTAGCTTTAAATTCGCAAATTTTTCGTGGATGTTTCTCCTGTTTTAGGATTGAGTACTGCGTATGCTAGAATGTGCTTAATTCTTTTAATTACCTTGGTTAGAGTTGATTTTCAATCAACAAAGAAGAACTTCTAAAGGCATTCTGAATTAAATTCGTGGGTTCTGTTTTGTTGAGAATCTGACTGGCTAGTTTGACTTATTTTCTCTTTGATATAAACCACGAGTATCTTGGTTTTTCCATTACACATTTAGTTTGTTTGTTCAATATGCCAGAAGACATCGTTTCTGAGCGTCCTTTATTTGGGGGTAAACTGTCAAGCGCGTTTCCTCAACGATTCCAGGTCTGTGTTCATTCATTTATTTTTTGAGCGGGTTCTTTTTTAATCATTTTGAATGAACCTTCAACGATACTATGTGAGTTTTTGTTTTGAATAAATTAAATTTTTGGTTATCTTTGTATAGGATCTTAGCGACATTCGAGAAGTTCCCAATCATCAGGTTTGCTGTATTCTCTGTTTTTGCCACGCATATAAGTCACCCTTTTTTCGAGTTTGTTTTTGTTTTTCCGTAATGAAATGCTGGTCCTTCTACTGATTTTTATTGATAGTGCTTTACAGGAGGCATTTGCAGACCCTAGCCGAGATGAAAGTTTGATCTTTGAACTTTTAGAATTCAAGCATGACGTTGCCGATGATGGAAGTGCTACATGGTTTCTTCAAGACCTTGCTACTGAGCAGAATGCCGAAGGAAGTGTGGTATATTTCATTTGATTTCTATCAATTAAAGGATTGGTTAAATGTCAGTCCATTACAGATGCAGTATCTTGCTTCTACTCTCTTCAGTGTATCAAAGCATGGTTCATTATCTAATGCTAATATTCAATCGATATGTGGTTTAAATATTTTAATGTTTTAGCATTGGGAGTGTTATTGTCTTTATGGCCATATACGAGATTTTTTTTATGTTTTACTTTCCCTGAATTGTCTTCGGTGAGTGCAAGGTTGTGTTAGTCGTTACCTTTTTTAAGACTCAGAGTCCACCACTTAGTGTAGTATTGTTTATTTGTTGCTTGTTAGGCACGATGTGCATGGCACCTGGCAATACTAATTTATAACATGGCGTTGTTCATTGTTTCAAGTAACCTTTCTTCTGTGTATCATCTGGGTGATTTGACTCAATGGAGGAATTGATATGCTTCATGTGCCCTGCGTGTGTTCCCCACCAATGGGGAAGGTTCTTGAATAAGAGAACTGGTGTCCATCATCTTAGTTCATTTAACATCTTATTTGCTTATGATGCATTTTTGTGTGGTGTGATCAATTTTGCCCATAAAATTTCAGGTGATTGAGCAGTCTGGAGTTCTTGAAGCACCTGGTTTAATATACAATAATATACCTGCTGTTATAACTACTGCAATAGGCCAAATGGTACATCTTTCGATCTTGTTTTGGTTTTTTTCTTGGTCCTATGTTTCCAAGTCATCTTAAGTAACCCCAGAATTGATGGTTATGAGTCAAGTATATATATATATATATATATCTGCCTTAAAGACAATATTATTTTGATGGTTATCAGTCATAAATTATCTCTTCTGTGGTCTACATTATTTCCTGCTTATCCATTTGTTTCTCTATAGAGATTGGGGGACTATGGCATTGCCCTATTTAACTTCATCCTCATTTAATTTAGATTGCATTCTAATAAAATCTAAGATATACTGGACTGAAAAAAAAGGGGGGGGGGAATCTACGGTATACATATAGAGTGAAAATTAGGGAAAGAATGCTTACTTGATAATACGAGCAAGCATTTAACTCATAAAACTAATAAATCCAGGAATATATTAAAGCTATAGGTGCAAGGATCTTAAACAGATAATACTCTAATAATCCAAAAGGGGGAGAATCAAGGTTCAATATGAAATACAACTCATGCTCTGCTCCTGCCCTATGCTCATATTGATGAGAATTGAACGCAATAGAAAAAATATAAATAAATTAATTCCTATTCACTCTCCTAATGTGCCATTTGCTTATCCATTCCTTAACCCATTCAAGGCATCATTCACTCTACATCAACCGTTATCCCATGATCCATGTTAATAGATACTCCATCAATACTTAGCCCTTGGAAGGGGGCGTTCACCTTGCCCTGACGCTGAAGCCATGGGAACTGGTCACATAATCTTCCCAACTTGCCTCTTCCATTGGGTGTTCCTTCCACAGAATCAATAATTTGATTAAAGGACCAGCTAATTGTTTACGTGAAACTCCTTGCAACTGATACCTTTGTCTCTTCTAGGAAACCAGAATTATGTGATCCCGATTATTGATTCTCTTGTCCAAACAAACTTGTCTCTCAGCCTCCTAGCAATGAGTTCAAAGGGTAGAATGGAGGTGGCTAAGTGTAGTGTGTATGGTGATCACTGGTTGGGTCAAATAAGTGCTTGTTGTGAGTCACAAAAGGTAGAATGGAGGTGGTTGTGTGTATTATGTATGGTGATCACTGGTTGGGTCAAACAAGTACTTGTTGTGACGCTAGCAAGCTCGACAGAAAACCTCTAATGTCACAAATTGATCACAAAGAAGAATTGAGCTGAGATTGTGATGTCAAATTAGGAGCGTGGGGTCCATGAGTGGACAAGATCTTGAATCCATATTCTGGTCATGAACTCACTGCTTTGTAGCCTTCCTGCATTGGATTTGGCCCTCTACCTTCCTAGGTTTTTCTGTTTCTACTGGAACTGGAATAAAAATTTTCATGGTTGATGTCAATTCTAGCTGAGTGCGAGACATTGTTGTTTATGGAGAGAATTTCTGAAACATTTGCTTCCTTCTCAGCCTCAGGTAGCACTTCCTTTCATTGGTGATTTCCTTTAAAAAGAGTGGACTGGTCTTGCAATGGTGCCCTGGCATGAACGTTTCCACTTCTCTTTGAGTGATTTTGGTTCCTTATGTATCTAATTGGGCTCAATCGTCTTCATTTTGTCATTCTAAATCTCCATTAGCAAGTGGGGGTTCATTTGAGCTCTTTATCATGACATACTTGGTGTTAAAAGTTCTATCGCATGTGATGGTCATTGGGATGGCAGATTGCTACAGGTTTGATGTTGCTAGTTGTGGCATCTGTGAGAGACTGGTCCATTGGAAGAAGAAATGCAAGCTTTTCATGCATCCAGCTTGAAGTGTTAGGCTTAACTTGAGAGGTCCAATTTCTGACATGATGTGGAAAGAGGGATGGACTTGAGTTCTTTAAGCTGTTGGGCCTTAAATTCTACTTGTGCTGATCTGGTTTGGCCTTTAGCGTTGCAATATCAGTCACTAAATCAGCATGAATATCAAGGCAATATGATATCTAATCAGTTGAAGAATTGTATGATGATATGGCTGGTGAATAGTAGGTTCTGAGGAGCAACCCCTGCGCTCCAACTTATAAGAATAAAACACATAACAGAAAATATAATACACAATTATTATGTTCACCGCACTGCAGGCATTATGGCATGATCGCTTGTCAATATAATGTCTAGAGATTCTGCAGACCACAACCCATCCATTCCTCAGTATTAATTAGTAATTTAATATATATATATATATATATTGCTTTTGAGATTTTGCTCGAGGGATGAGTAAATTTCCTGCCATTTTCTGTGGGCCTAACTGATGGGTTTGCTCTATGCCTATACACAGACTAAGATATAAAAAGGGATCTAAATTTTCTGCAATCTGTTCATTTTCCCACGAGCTGCTGCTAACAAATTATAAGTTCTCAGTTTTGATATTAGAAAAAGCTGAAATAGTCTTTCTTTAGGGGCACAGTATTACAACTCTAGGGCTGAATATGTAAAATTTCTTTTTTATTGCATTGGAGAGAAGATGAACTGTTGTGACAACTTGCCACTTCCTGCTTCCTTGCCTTCATATTAATTTTCTTTGCAATTGACATTAATTTCATCAGGATTTTCTCTCCTGTCAGAACTTATTTTTTAAGCCATGCTAGTAGGCCAAACATTCTTTCCGTTTTTTTGTGAACAGTAATTGGTTCTATTACTTAATTCATATTTATCATGCTTGACAAAGGCAATATTCTCTGGAAATTTGTGTTTCATGTATGTTTAAAGTCTCTCAGGTTTAAAAATGGATCTTTATAGATTTGCTTTTACTCTGTGGCCAGTAACTATTTTTATGTTCATTAATTTCTGGAAGAAAAATGATAATGTTTTTAGTATCTCCACGCTCTCTATTTTGGTGAGAGCCTGATACCCTTTTATGTTCCTAGTTCACTCATCCTCATCATGTGTAATCATTACTAGGCAAGTTCTAAAGGACGGCAAGGAAGGGAAGCACAAAATATTGTGAAAGTATGTTTTATCTTTTGCTCAAACTGTTTATAAATGTTACAAATGGCAATTTGACATGGTCATCTTTCTTCAGGTGTATTTGGCAAATTTGCGTCTCAAGGGAGTTGGCACTGATGTCCTAATCACTGCATACGAGCCCATTGTTATAAAGTATGAGGAACTTTTTTATTTTTAACCAATAAGCTACACAAATGATTCTCTTGCATTTGGATTCCATATTTGTATTGCGAGTTTAACTTCGGATATGTGAGAATACAATATTGCCTTACGGGGTAGCGGGAGACATCTGCAATTAAGTTTTTTCTTGGACATACTTCAAAAAGCGATCGACTGGTTTAGTTAAGGTTTACCATATGGTGCACTTTAGTGGAAGAGAATCCATGTTTGTTGAAAGAAATGGCCAATTATTTGCAATCCCCCCCTTTCTTGAAAGCTTTCAAGTATCCAAGACACTTATGTGTTGCTCTTTTGCTGCAGTCCCTTGAGTGAGAGTGCTGGCACAGTTGGTGCTGGCTTAGCTGTTCCTGCCGTGCAAGCTGGATGTGTACCCATGGCTGAGGTCTTCAGACATGCTGTTGAAAGCTTCAAGGTTTATGACTGGGGTCTTTTCAGTGTATGATCCTGGTTTTTGCCAGGTGTCAAGATTCTAGGAACATAGTTACAGGGCCGAAATTTTAGGCACTTGTCCCAGTATGATCCATATAAAATCCCTAGTCGATTTTCTGTTGGCCACTTGTTATTCTGACGGATTATGTCACAGTTGTTCATAGTTTAACCAGTTATGAACCTGGTAACTTTGAAAGTAATGTAGCTCCTCTTAATAGATTTTGCAGTCTTTTAAAACATAGCCAACTGGTTTATGCATGATAGGAGATGTATTATTGAACCATGAGTCCCTGCTGAAATGAACAGGGCATGTATTTGCTTGTCATTTGTTTCTTGCTTAAACATCATGTTTTGGCCTTAAAGTGTAAAACCACTTACTTACAAGACAAGCGTTGTCTGTTGATGTAAATGTTGCCATTTGCTAATCATGCTCTTTGAACTGTATAGCTCACAGATAACTCATCTCTGTATCTTTCTGTCGAAAAAATAAATTGGCCTTGTCTCCCCTGAAAGATGCATCTCTACTGTGAGTTGAAAGATGCATTTTTGTGATGCCCCCAGATTCCAGTGAGTACTGTTACTTCGTGGTTGAGGAAATGTATTACATTAAAATTGCAATTTTTATCATGTATGTTCAGCTTTCATAATTTCATCAATCATTTTTTTTAGTACGATGATCCAGATAGGTTGACGGGTCCAAATAACACCTAGGGGAATATTTACATTTACAGATGACCCACGGTCAATCGAGGTATCTAATTATTACTTTTTTTTTTTAAGGGACAAATATAGTTACAAGGTCACTTATGTGTCCTACAAGTTTGGGCCTGTGACCTCTTCGAGGAAGATTTCTATGCTTGGCGATTCACATGCTGCCATGACAAGTCATCGTGGGCTAATTTTTATTTCAAGAATTCGAGAGAGAATTTAAGAGATTCTTTCATATTGGAGATTGTCTTTCAGGAAACCATTTTTTCCAAGACAAGGACTGTGCCAACTGATAAGTGATGAGGTTACAGGTAGAAGACACTGCAAGTGGCTAATCCATTGAAGAAGAGTCAACCACGTGGCAACAGGCACTCAAACAAGTTTGAAAATCATGCATTGTGTGGGGCCATCCTTGAAAAAAAAATAAACTACGATATGGGTGTCTTCATAGGACACATGTTTTCACACATTGTGACTGTAGGAAAGCTGCTAGAAATTATTGGTGAGCAATCAACATCAAATCATTGCTCAATCTTTTACAGACAGTTATTGCCATAATGCCACAGGATTAAACATAATATACTATCTCTCTTGAAAAAAAAAAAAAAGCAATTAATTTCTGCAACTGTAGATCCATGGAAGCTTTAAGGCACGATAGTCCACAATAGACTCATCAGTTTCGTGACTCATTATCAGGGAAAGCCACTTTATCTTCTTTCAAAAGAAAAAAGAAAATGCAGATTGAATACACCTAATTCTCCCATGCCGACTTGCTCTGTAAATGGAAAGCTTCCCCTACTTAGGTCCATGCTTGGATTATTCCCATCTCTATTTTGGTCAAAAAAACACATCTCACTTTTGGACTTGCTCATGTTCTTTTCCAGTTTCACCCAAAAGAAAAAAAGAAGAAATTTTTTTATGCAAATTTTATTAATAAAAAGATAACACGAAGTTAGATGTTATCCTTTTGTGCGTGCGTGCGTGCGTGTTTTTTCAAGCATGGTTCACATTTGAGGAAACTGGTTCGCTAATCTTGTAAGACATCAAAATAGATACATTTGTTGTTATTCTGATTTGATTGAACCATTGAAACTAATTAAAAATAGATTGATCAAAAATTGGCTTAATCAATAAAAAAAATCCTAGCGCTCAGGCAAATTGATATTATTAATTTCTGATTTATTTATGTCTAAATTAAAACTTTGAAATCTTGCAGTACAACATTTCTACTACTACTCCTGGTCCAAAGTGCTATATGATACTTTTAATTGCTTTACAAGGATTAAGAAAATTAGTTAAAAGTAGTTTATATCATTAAAATGATATAAAATTGTCACTACTTTTTCAAGATTACCCTCTAATTAAAATCAATCTATATTAATTACCTTCAATTTCTTTCTTATATAATCTCTCCCTATAATTTAACAACGACATTTATTTCATTTTTTAAAAAAGTGTTTTGCATTTTTTTTTTTTGATATATTAAAAGTTTAGACAAGTTGAGTCTCGAAAATTCACTAAAGTCAAAGCATGCTTTTAAGTTTAAAGAATATTTACAGAAACATTACAAATCACCTATCAACAAGATTCTTACATCAATAGTGGCATTTGACCTACAACCTTGTGGATTACAAATTAAATCATTACCAATTAAACTAATTTTTAAATTATTATGCATTTTAGACCAACCCAACGGGTAGAAGATGTCAAATATGTATTTATTGTATCTATTATTTATAATATTTCCTCCATTTAAAAATATAAACATTTTTAATTGAATATCATCCCAAGAAAGTAGTTACCTATTTCAAATTAACTCTATCTTTTCATATTTACCTCTATTAAACATCCTACAATAAATATAAAGTCATTCATCAATAGGGACACTTTTAAAAAAAGGTACTCCCTCTGTTAAAAAATGTAAGACATTTTTAATTGAATTTCACCCCAATAAAGTAATTACCTACTTTCAAACTAGCCCTATCTTTTCATATTTACTACTATTAAACACCCTACAATAAATACAAAGTCATTTATCAATAGCTGCACTTTTAAAAAAGGCATTACATCTTAAAAGACTAAAAATGCTTATATTTTTTAATATTTAATTTTTCAAAAAATGTATTAACGAGGAAGAGTAATGATTATACTTTAAAAAATTAAAAATATTTTATATTTTAAATATTTATCTATTTAAAAAATATTTTTTTTTTAACAGATGGAGTATATAAATTGATTTAATTATGAGATTATTCAAAAGGAAAGAATGTGGTATTCACATGCCGCAAAAGAGGAAATCAGCTAAATAGTAGATATTGTGGAAATTGTTAGGATAGGATATGACAGCTTTTGCCATTATTAATGCCCACTACATTTCATTCAAAGTAAGATGACTAGTTTGTCACTTTATCACCTACTTTCTCCTAACTTAAAACAGATTTTAAGTACATCACTTCACTACATTTACAATTCAAGCTTCATTGACTTACTTGGGAATTCCATTTTAAATCCCTCTTCTTCGAACCCTAATTAATGCTTCATCAAACTAACTTTCTTCAGCTCGGAGGAACTCTCTTCATTTGTAGCATAGTCTGCGTAGGATTTAGGGAGACATAAATATAGCATCTGCCACATATTAAAATCAAACTTGCCTATGTCCTTCTCTAACATCACGCAAAGGTACCCTTTCTTTTGTTTAGTTATCCTATATATCTAATATTACCAAGTCAAATTTGAACAAAAATTCAATTGAGAATAGATTTCTTGATGGAAACTAGAAAAGACTCATATAAAAATATAGAAAGTGAGAACAAGAACAAATGAGTGAAAGTAGTAAGAAGTCACCACATTGTTATTTAAAAACATAAAGATTTAATTTTATGAATCCTTTCATTTTATTATATATCAATTATTAAATTTAAATTTATTTAATATAAGACTTCTCACATCGATCGACTAAAACCCCTCATATTTAGATAACATAACATCTCTTAATGTAATGTTTTTTTCATACACAAGATCAATTTCCCTCAATCTTACTTAAAGTGGTTTGAATGGCTCTTTTAACATCCAGGAATTGGATTTGAGTAGGATTTTTATTAAAAGAAGTATGTATTCGTTGATATAACATGATGTAACCTCTTGGGAAAATGCATGTTGAAAGAGAGGGTGGAAATTGGGGTGGACAAAGCACAAAAGTAGATGGCACGTAAGTTGATGAGGGAAATTAATTTTGAAGCAGAGAGTCGTTGCCATGAGGAGAGGGGAAAGTTATGTATAGATATGAGAAATAAAGATTGGGAAAGGACCGAAAAATGAATGAAGAAGCCAATAAGTTTAGTGGACGTGTCTGGTGTGCGAGAAACTTAACAAAGGCATATAACAAATGTTGACTCATTTATTGAATTGAATATCGTACTTAACGGTGCCGGACTTGACCACGTCGCCCAGCTACAGCTCATTCGTGTGTCCCGAACTGAATTCACATTCAACAGTTTCTGGTTTGAGCAGAACCTCATCGATCCTTGAGGCTGATGATCACAAAACACGATCATACTACACAATCTTCTCAGCTTATCAAGGGAGCCATCTTCGGTGTTCATCACCTGGACTATCCAGAGAGTCCAAATTTAAAGTTTTTAATTTATTTTTACTTTATATTTATTAAAAAATAACTGATTATAATTTTTAATAAGTTTACTTATTATCAACTGGATAGTCCAAATTTAATTTGGGTTGTCCAAATTTAATATTAAAAATTTTTATAATTTTATAAATTGACTATCTAAATTTCTTTTGGATAGTGAAAATTTAAAATTTTTAATTAATAATATTTTTTAAAATATGTATTTTTTTTTAAAAAAGTGCTAGCTAGGATATTATATTTATTTTTAATTTCAATATTTTATTTATTAATATGAAAATTCATAAAAAAATATAAAAATTAATATTAAATCTATACTGTCTATAGTACATCTAGATGATTAATTTATAAAAATTATAAAAATATTAAAATTAGATTGAATCATCCAAATTAAATATGTTCTGCCCTAATTGATGATAAATTATTTATTAAAAAATTTTTAAAATTTTATTTTAATAAATATAAAACAAAATTTATATTTAAAAACTTTAGATATGGACAATCCAAATCTCTTCACTTATCCACTGATGAGCACCAAAAATGAACTCGCTGATCAACATATCCTTACTATATAATACTCTCTCCGTATCACAATAAAGGCATCATCTAGAAACCTCATCTGGTCTAAAATATAGGATATTAAATAAATTTTATATTTATTTTTTAAACTATACCCTTACTTTATTTATTATTTTTTTTGAAATAATCCTACATGTGAATTTTAATTACTATTATCAGGACTCTTATATAGGGTATTTAATGAAGGTACAAAAGAAAATATGTGGATATTTTTAAGAATTTAAGGTTTCAAGTAACATTATTTATAAATCATGAATTAATTAACTATGACTTATATTGTGTTTTATAGGAAGTACAATATTTACTCTCTCCAGACTCTAAAAATATTATTTGGTTCAAAATATAAAGCAATAGATATTTTTAATTTATAACTATTTTTTTAACTATATCCACACTTTATTTATTACTTTTTTTAAAAAAATACTTTAATTAGAATTCTAATTATCATTGTTAAGGCTATCAGATATCTAATGAGTGTATAATTGAAAATATATAAAAAAATTAAGAAATTAAAGTTTTATTTCACTT